TGGTATTTTGGGGGATGGGGCTGGGGGGGGGGGGGGATTTAGCACTCCCCTCCCAGCTTCTTTCCCAGCCTGGGGGGGAGGGGCACCCTGCCAGCATTCCTGCAGCCCGGGGGTGTCACCTGCCCTGAGATAAGAAGGTGGATTTTTAAAATTTTTGGTGGTCGGCATGGCCAGTGTCAGCAGGCTTGGGGCTTCGTGTCCGGGCCGCAGCACTGCCCCCACCCTGCCCTGGGCACGGGGCCCCCAAAGGGAGCGGGCGGGGCAGGGAGGGGACTTCCTGTCCTCGGCAGGACCTTTTGGCTCTGACCTTGTCCTCCAGCAGGAACGCTGTGAGTGTGGGAATCAGAGTGCAGGCTGTGGGCCTGACCTGTGTCCATGGGCTATGCCCATGTGCATGTATGTTCTTGGGTTAATCTCTTCCTGTCCCTTAAAGCGGTGACATCATCTTTTCCATCCATTCAGTCAGATATTCATTCAACAAACACTTTATGGGAGCCTGCTTCCCGCTGGCCCCGTGTTGCTGGCCTCCAGGGTTTCCCGTCTAGAGGGGCGCAGTGTTGGGTAAACAGGAGCTCCTTTACCGCCCCCCGCCCCCTGCCTCGCCCCCCTCCCGGGCTGTGACGTGTGTGTGTGTGTGTGTGTGTGTGTGTGTGTGTGTGTGTAGTGGGGCAGGTGTGTCCAGCTCAGGTGGGAGAAACCACCTGCCCCTCCCGACAGAGCCTCGCCTGTAGGGCTTTGAAAGCGGTTCTTGCATCATACGCTTGTTTTATTCTTCCTCCTGAAGGAAGTGAGGGTAACACTCCTACTCCACAGACGGAGAAACTGAGGCACAGAGCTGGGAAGGGATTTATTCAAGCCCAGGGTCTGGATTCAGGAGCTTGTATTTCTTTCCACCACACCAAGCAGGTGTTTTCAGGAAGAATAAGGAAATTATTCAGAGAGACTACTGGTGGGGAAACGGATTCCCAGGAGGCATGCTGGGGGTCCCCAGGGAGAGCTCCCTGTGGCCCCTGTGGTGGGGGATGGGCTTGCCCAGGGTCTGCGATGGGGGCCACCTGGCTCAGCCTGCAAGCTCTGAACTCCCTGGAATGTTCTGGTCTGAAGGGTCTCAGAAAAAAAAATGGTATTTTGGGGGATGGGGCTGGGGGGGGGGGGGGATTTAGCACTCCCCTCCCAGCTTCTTTCCCAGCCTGGGGGGGAGGGGCACCCTGCCAGCATTCCTGCAGCCCGGGGGTGTCACCTGCCCTGAGATAAGAAGGTGGATTTTTAAAATTTTTGGTGGTCGGCATGGCCAGTGTCAGCAGGCTTGGGGC